AACAACTCAAATACGTCATAATTAGCAATACAATTGAATTATATTTGCTTCCACAATGCGACGATAATTGCACTTATAACCCTTCCAACCGCATCAAAACTATTTGTTGCTATTATAGACAGATGGATATACACTTATCAATAAAACTTGTCCTATTATCATCAATTAGAACTTGAAATTGGCACTCTTTTCCAAATGACGCTATTGAAACACGCGTTTTCACTTCGTTTGTACCACATTGACATTGAGAAATGACTAGGAGTTTACCTCTAGCAAGCGATTTTTCTTTCTAACATACGTATTCACCTATTAAACAGGAGACCGAGATATTATCCTGTTCTATCTACTACCTATCGCCACATCTTACGGGGACGTTCTTTGGTCACATCCATTAAAGTGTAAGTGATGTTTCAACATCAAATCCCCCCTCCCTTCTCTTTTGATTTTCGCATAGTTGTTTTTCTTTGTGTTGTTTGATGTCGACGACGTTTACAGAAATAACTACTTTGCATTGTACTATTTCTATTTAGTTCAGTGCGTATGTGCAATTTACCATTTCCTATCACGCGGGTTTGTTTATACGTCACAATTACGATGATAATGGGTGTAACTAGGTCATACCAGGGAACTTTGATGTGTAGTAAGTCTAGGGTACTTAATGGACTTACGGACCCTTCACCAATTGTATTACTCACGTAATACATATACTAAAATTGGAACGATACAGAGAAGATTAGCATGGCCCCTGCGCAAGGATGACACGCAAATTCGTGAAGCGTTCCATATTTTTCGAATTTTGATACGCGATCCTTTTTACAAACCCTTATCCTAACGCCTGGTATATGATGCTATTCTTTTTTTAATTTCGATGTTTCTTTGGGAGCAGCTTTAAGGCAGTTCTCTGAATGACAGAACGGTTATACGTAGGCCTAATTTAGGAAAACAATAATACAACGTCATCACCTCTATTTTATAATATAAACCTAAATACTTTCTGGCTGTTTCTTACACTTTTGTTCCTCTGCTTTTTGCTTCTTCTGTCTCAACCATTCCTCCTGTGGTATCTGACCTGGTAAATGTGGACAATATCTCTGTCCACAGAACTGAGTGTGGTCTGCTGTGGACATGGGTTGGTTGCAATCTTTGTAGGTGTAGATTTTCCTGAGCCCTGGACTCTCACCACTGGCCTTCCTTTTCCTCCATTCTGTGGTTCTGGACATTGTTCTCTGGGTTGAAGCTTCTGTTAGTGTGGGATGTCCCCTTCTCAAGCCATACCTGTTGTGTCCTCTGGTTCATCAAACACTAGTGGTCGAACAGGCGACTGAACCGAACTTGGAGCAGGCATTGCGTCTGGTAGTGGTTGGTGGGATGTGGCTTGTTGAAGAGGTAACACGACACCCTGAAGTAGCATCTTCACTTCAACCCATCTGGTCCTGTCCTTGAACCACTTGATCAAAGTGGTCTCATTGATCGAGAAGAGAATCAGGTTGGTATCTTCTAGTAGCTTCTCATTATTTAGTAACCTCTGTCTAATTTTGTTGTAAGCAGAGAGTATAAGCTTCCACCTAGATGTATATCTACCTTCTTTGGATGGTGTGGTTATGTCTTCTGACAGATGGAGGCAGATAGCTTCTACAACTCTGCTCTTGGTTGGAGAGGAGGTTGGAGAACCTGCTGAAAGAAAACCTGCTGGAAAAAACAAAAAAAAACCCTATGCATTATCATGAAGAGAATAAGAGAAGGATAGGCAGTAAAGGAGAGACAGGGAATTCTTCAAATGCTTAAGAATTACCTTTTGACAGCATCTACACCAAAAAATACACCTTTTGATCTAGCAAAGCGTCCCTTTGATGGCTTCTTGACCTTGGCTGTATACTTGATTGGCCTCCTGTCAAAATCCAGCAAAACATCAAACAACTGTTTGATATTATTAGTCTCAGCAGCTGTGATGCTGATGCCTTTGAGCTGGATTAATGCCAGTGCTAGGGCCTCCACCTTATCCCAGCCAGGAAAACCTCGAGAGTCAACACTTACTGATAGTTCCTCTTCTTCCTCTTCCTACAAAAATATACTTGTTAATAAGTCAAGCAGGAAACAACAACAATGAAACATACAAAGTCAATAAGGATGTTCCTTCAAC